AGTTAGTTACGACCAAAGGAATAGGTAATAAATACTTAGCACTAGTCGACTGCTAGTTAGTTAATAGTTAGCTATAAACTAGTCCCATTTCCTGCAGGGTATATAGTATACATATTTTTTACGTTTGTTGCCTCCTAAAGGCTAGTATTTATGTCCATGTGCCCTACCATTTATGTGTTTGGATCCCGGGTATATGCAAACAAAACATTTTGCGTGTTCACACATACATACATATGTATGTCCATATTGTAACAGGAAAGCATTTTTGACGAATGCAAATATATTTGAACAACTTGCTTGGGGCAGTCTTGTTTATTTTGTTTTGGGTATGCGCCTATACGAACATGTGAATGTATGTGTTAAACTTTATTGTCTTTGTTCCTGGTTATTTTTGTGTTTATTTATTTTGTCGCAGCAGTGAACGGAGATTATAAAGTATATTAAAATGGAGGTCCTTCGTTGGCTTAATGTGTTTGTTTAAGTTTCACACTAAAATAAGTAAAAAATATTTTAATGAGATTTACTTATGAAGGATTCTTTTGAATGAGAATAATAAACATTAGCTAAAGAAAGACGAATTACCTAAAATATTTTTCAGCTTTGGCGTATACCAGTGCGTATGCGTAATGTTTTACTTTTACGTTAACTTTGCACCCCTATACGTAAGAACGCCGTACAGGCCATTGCAGGCAGTAAAGCAAAAAATTATGTTGGTATGATATTAGGTGGGGCATGTCTGCTGATAGTGATCTAGACAAGTATACTTATTGAAGTGCCACCATGCCCATTACTGAGGACCTTATACAATGTTAAGTTCTCAGAGACTAAGTTCCGGACACTGAGTCAGGATCTGGAGTCTATATCAAAAGCAATGGAGATAAGCTTAAATTTTATCTTAGAGAATATGCTCCGCCTCTACAAGCCGAATAACTAATTTTCGTGTTTTATGATGATGTTTGTATATACATTGGTGTAGTCCTTAAAATCAAATCAACGATTTTTTTCAGTCTCACCACCTCAATCGGCAATACAACGGTCACAGGTATCACATATAAATTTTGGTCCCAATTGGGAACGGTTAAGGCGTGTTGCACAGGGATCAATGGCCAGATGCCTCTATGAACTCAAAAAATTATTATTTTTTTCATTTAATACCCAAATCGGTACTACTAAAGTCGAGGATATCAAATATAAACTTCGGTCCCGATTGGAGTCTGAGAGAGAGATGTTGGCTGACTATTGTTGTGGATTGCAATGTCCGAAGTAATTGTCAAAAAATGGGGGTATTTTTAGACACTTCAAACTAGAAAATTGTCGCTGTGCAACTTGTTTCATTTTTCTAATTTTTGTATAAAGCTAGAAATTTGGATTTACATATGTATAGTACATATGTACATAGCTTTTGTTGGATCGTATCATTTTGTCTCGGAGTGTACACCAGCTACACATAGTACCAGGAACTTCTTTATTTTTATGGAAAACTGGTTCAATAAATAATTATTTTTTAAATTGAGATACTACGAAACGGAACAGGAGCTATGAGCACCTCTCCAACCGATGTCCTTGGTGTCATTCCTCTTTTATCTACTCTTAATGAAAAAGAGGCCTGATGGAGCGCCCTACGGCTTCCAAATACGATCAGCATGAAAAGTGTAGATCTTCGGGGTCACTAGGAGTTTCTCAAGCCATTTCTGGATGATCCTACTACTAAACTCACGGAAGTTATTCTTCTTATTTAGAATATTCAGCATATTGTATTTAATTGTGGATATCTTATGCTTCATATATTCATAGTACTATGAAAGAAAAGTCACATGCAACTCACCGAGGTATACATAGATACAATTTCTTTTAATACTGATAGCCCGATCACAATGAAAACGACGAGCTATGGACCACAGCTATCAAATTATTTTCCCACGTATTCTTATGTAGATAATTATTTTCTCTTCTTCATTTTCGTCAAACTCATACAAATCTAAGATGTCGCTGCTGCGTTCAAAGAAATCATGTCGCTATCGACAAAGCGTTTAGATAATGAAGATAACAAATTGCAGGCTGTGGCCCGTAGCTGGTCGTTTTCAATGTGTTCAGTCAACGTTTTGCATTTTTCGTACATAACGGTTGTACACAAATTTATAGAAAATTTAATTTCCCACTTATCTTTATACAAACTTAAAAAAAAAATAATAATTTTTTATTGTAAATAATTAGCAAAAAGTGCGAATAACAATGCCAAAGTTGTAGGGAACTTTTCTCTTTTAGTGTTGGGTTCTGAGGTGGCAAAAAAATTTGTAAAGCAAAATCTAATTTATGGTTAGTTGGGATGCCATATTTGAGATGCCATGTTGGATTTTTCAAAAGGCCTGACGGCGTTTTCCCAAAAAAAAACTCAATAACTTTAAAAGATGGGGAGGTTTAAAATACTGTAGCTATTTTTGACATCGGGGGACAAAACTTTATCAAGTGCCATTAAAATATAATAAATTTCCCACTAACTTATAGGCAAAATATTGACCGCTTTGTGAAAAGTTCCATGAATTTGCTGAACTTTGGAGCCTTTGAGGCACGTCTTTCCGTTATCCGATTTAAAAAAATTTTCGCACGCATTTTTCTAGGCGGAATTCTTTGCAATCGAAGTCTCTGTTCTCTAATGTCTTCGTAAAAGCAAAAATGGGACCAGAATAAATATTACGTCGGATGGTTAGGCTATTTTAAAATGGCATCAAAGCTGTGTGGACAGGAGTGAAGCTCTTTCGAACCGCCTGGAAGCTCACAATAGCGCTGTGGTTCGTTACAGGACATGAAGACAACGAAAGAGCCGACTATCTCGCAAAGCGGGAGAATAAATCCGCTGGCATGGTCCCGGGCCTTTTCGCAGTATACTGCAGTACTACATAGAAGCTAGGAAGGATCTCAGATTGCTGCACACTGGCGGAAGTAAAAGGGAATGAGACAATCAAAGAGACCCATACATCCTTCCAGGAGGAACCCCGAAAGACTCCTTAGGCTTAGCCGGGAGAGCCTGGTTAATTGTCGGGAAACGGGAATTTAAGGTACTATTTGAATTAAATGGGGTTTTCTGTACACACGGACTGCAGGCTTTGTGGACTGATGGAGGAAAGCGCAGAACACATTTTGACTTCAGCGCCAGTTCAGGCAAAATTTTTTGGAGATCTATGATTTATTATGTTTCAACTACATACGCCAAATTCGAACCAAATCCGACCATAAGTATGGGTTTTCAAAATATCTCGACCTTAGCGCCACCTAGCAAGACAGTTTTACGTATTTTACGGTCACGGTGTGTAAATTTTCATTCATTAAGAGCGGAAACTGGTTTCCTATCTTAATATGCGCAAATTTAAACAAAATTTTTTTTGAGTGTAGACACGATTTTTTTTTTTTAAAGCAGAGAAATTGGCCCATAACTATATAGATATATAATGACCAGGGAACGGATTTTATGGAAATTGCCTTTTTTTCTGCTAAAGAGATAGAGTATATTCGATTAAGAATGTCCACGATTTAGCTTTCCCTGATTCCATATAAACAAATTTGATGTTGCCTTTTTTTGCCTTTTTTAAGATATTTGCTTTTTTTTTGCATTTTTTAAGATATTTGCCTTTTTTTGCCTTTTCTACCTTTAAAAAAGTAATTATAGCATTTAAAATTTTTTTTAAGATTAAAAAATATACACATGCCCATGCGGCTTATAGAAGCGCAGGAAGCGCAAATTGGTGTAGGAAAAATTCAAAGCCGTTTTCTCAGCTAACGTAGGCTTGGAGACAATAAGGGGTGTGGATAAAATTGCAAAGGGCGAGGAAAACGCCCTTATTCCTGATAATATGAACGTTTCAAACGTCCCATATTTAAATTGGACTCCACTTGTATCAACTTACGTCGAGCACACATTTAGTAAATTCAAGGCTTTTCTTCGCGAAAATCGAATGAAAATGCTGCCAGAAAACTTCAAAATGCATCTTATGGTTCAATGTTACTACAACTATACAGATTAAAGTTTTATGAGCTAAAAACTCGAAAGGATAAAATAGTCAAAGATTCAAAGTACAAATTTTTCATATAATGAAACTAGTTCATAATTTTTCTCTTTTTACTTGTAATATAAACATTTCTAAAATAAATGTATTTTTTGATTGTTCTTCGTATTTTCTGTCTTTTTTTTTAGTGCCTTATTTTGCTTTTTTTGTAATACCTAGTGCCTTTTCCTGCCTTTTTCGCTATTTTGTGTTGCCTTTTTTTGCCTTTTTTGCAATAGCTAGTGCCTTTTCCTGCCTTTTTCGTTATTTTATTTTGCCTTTTCCAGCCTATTTCGCTATTTTATTTTGCCTTTTTTATAGGTTTTTAAGTCCTAAAAATCCGTTCCCTGATAATGACTTAAATTTTTTTTTGCGGTAGACCTTCCGGTTGAAACAAATTTTTAATAAACTTGACATAAAAAAAAATTTTAAAGTCAGAAAAGTTTTTTGTAGGATTTGGTTAGTTTCGGTAGGAAAAAAAATTTGTCGGTGGCAACACTCAGTATACCAGATTTTGTCTGCAAAAAGGCACGAGCGTTATATGTACATAAAGTTGTATTAGTTATGTTCATAATTTGAATTTCTTCTACAACCTGTTATCATACAATACAAATTTATAGGAGCAAGATTTATGCATTTTAATATTTTCCATAGAAAACAATATAATTAATCTCCCTATATTTCGTTTAATAAATTTTTTTCAGCGTTCGCGTTTGATTTTTCAACGGCTTCATACCGAATAGTTAATGAAAGCGCAGAAGCTATAGTAACGAGTCCTGTGCCGTCGACTGGGAATTCTACACATTTAATCAACACTTGTGTGTGTTCTGCGAATACGTAGATTAAAATACCCGCACACGCGCCTATTAAGGTTCAAAAAGGTGACGCAGACATTTTTCATTTACAAACATCCAGGCAGTGAAACAGTAGAGCGCGCGTGTACAAAGCGTCCTGTACTGAACAGCACGGCACTGTTCGGTTAAATCGCATCTCTCTGTCAATATTAGCGCTATAGCAACTGCTGGGTGTGGGCGATACTGCGCCCCGTCACCGGTAAGTTTCCAACAGCCATGCATTTACCTACATATGTACATAAATACATACATACACACACACTCGACTATAACTCACTCACACACAACTACTTAAATATGCGCACTTGCACTCATTTATCACAAATCACTTGCACTTGCACAAGGTCTGCTATCAACTCGTGGAAGTTTTTTAAATCTAACATTCGTCTTTATTTTATGATTAATGTGTCTGAGTTAAATTTCAAGTTTGATTAATTGCCGCCTTTTTGAGGGTTTGCTGGCAAAAATCAGTTTATATTATAATTTGATTTAATTTTTTAGCAAATATTTTCAGTTGTTATTTAGTAGTTTTTAACTTTCAATATTTTACGAATATCCTTCAAGATTGTGTGTAATTGCAATTGGTGCTCAATAAACTAAAATGATTGTCAAAAAATGCACAACGGTTCTAGCAGCAGCCTCATCTTTAAAGCAAATATTAAAGTGTTAAGGCTGAATGGAAACCTTTGTGAGAGTTGCAAATGAGTTAGCCTTAGGTATGTCTAACCATCAAGGACACTGACATTTTTAAAATAGAACTTTCAATCATAAGAAAAGGTTCTTAAATTTGGTATTGGGAGCAGTTATAAGCATTACCTCGCTTACCTTACTTATTGCTCGGGCATAGTAGACAAAAGAAAAAGCTAAAAAATTTAAGTTCGTCCTATTTTTTTAATAGTTTTATCAGAGCGAGTACATAGAATTTTCGATAAAATTCTGCCTCTTCACTGATAGTACGCAATCAATACTAACCCCGGCCATGAAACGAAATATGCAACCCCTTCCGCTTGGAGCGTCCACTGCTCCGATATTTAATTAAAGTTCTCACCGGGCACTGCCTGATGGGAACCGACGCCCCTAGAATGGGTATGCAGTCAAACGATTAGTGTGCTAGCTGCCCTGATGTGGAGGAAATCGAAAGCGTAGAGCATTTCTTATGCCACTGTCCTGCATTGACGAGGGCAGCGTCAACGCTCGTTTTCCCAATATTCTTGTGAATGATTGGCTGAGAAGTTGTCTCTATGGACTGGTCATTCGAAAAAGACATATATTTCATGTCCTTTATTTTATATACAGGTCATGTAGTGTAAACAAGTCTTTATATTTTATTTGTATACATTTTTTGGTTATATGGGAGGGATCGAAAGTAATAGTTATATTCGAAATTTCAATTTAAAATGTCGGACAAGATTTTTTTTCACCGACATTTTTCAGTAAAAAATAACAGTTAAATTGAAATTTATATATTTTCCCAGTAAACAAAATTAAAATTTGACTTTTTTGGGTACAATATAAAAGTTAAACTCTGACTTATTTTTTTGGTCAAAAACAACAATTAAAATTTTGCTTAAATTTTTTGTATGTACATGTTTTAATTTCAAAAAATCTCAGAGAGAAAAATGCAATTTTTTATGCTTTCACCCTAGTCACAACTGTTTTTCAAAAAAAAAAATATTTCGATATTTACATGCACATTTCGCTATAATTCATATACGAAATGACAAATATCTAGTTTATACGTAGCAATAAAATGTGTTTAACTTAAACGGTTACAATAAAAAAATAGCAATACAATTTCAACGTTTCTCTTTGACTAAAAAAATAGAAGTTAAATTTCATCTTTAGAAAAATCAAGTATTTTCCCAAAACCTACGTAAGGGTTCAGTTACTCTAGAGTCTAGACTTAATTTACGTAACGTAACCTAATATATTAGCCAACGGAATATATTTTTGTTCAGAAATTTTTTGATGAGGCTTATAGGCGGCAAAGTGACAACCAGCAGAAAAAGAAAATACAAAAATAAAATTTGTTCGCTTCTAGATAAGTTGACGTAAGTTAAGTTAAGTCGAGAGTAACTGAGCCTTAAATAGAATTGATTTTTCACTCTGTGCAAAAAAGTTACCTACACATACATGTATGTGCACATATTTAGTTACTATTTCAATGCCAACAAATAGTTACTCATGTTAGTCACGTCAGGCACATTACCATCTAACTAACTAAGCGAGTGCCCGCCGGTGGTAACCACAAAAATGTCAGCCTACTTGCGTCAGAGGCACCGGTATATACAAGTGTGTGTATATGTAGGTGCATGAACTGCTTATGGGTCTAAAAATGATGCGCTTGGAACGTCACCAATGACCTCTATTCAATGGCAATACTAATAGAGTACACTAATTTTCTTGTAATAATATTTTTCTTGCCTCAAAGAGTAAATGAGGATTGTTCTTAAAGAGCAGTGGTTCTTAACCGGTAGTCCGCAGACAATCGGTGGTTATACGAAACGCCCGAAGTGGACCTCGAAGTCACAGCATAAAAGAAAAACGCAGAATGCTTTGATGCCATTAAAAGCATAAGCAGACAGCAGCGTTGATCCGGATCAACTCGGGAATTAGATGCGGTTGATCCGGATTAAGTCCGAGTTAACGTGTGAATTATTGTCGAGCAGTGTGCTGAGTTTAAAGGAGAAACACAATAGAACATTATTTTCCATTTGAACAACTTAAATAACTAATTCAATCGCTATCTTCTAGACTGCGCGGGTAAAAGTATACGTAAACTGATGCAATCCTTTTATTATCAGTAGCACTGTTCTTGCATTTGGATATTCGGTGCATTTGTAAATTCACAACAATAAAATGCAAACGACTGACATGGCAACAAGCATAAAATTTGCAAATGCAATTCCAGACTGCACATCCAAGACCATTTCCACAATATCCTGAACAGCCCTAATGTTTTTAAGCTGCCTGATTGAAGTGATTGGAAATGCAACAAAATAGTAAAAGTTGCATTCGGGCCAGGGAATAATCTTGAATATTTTTGAACTCGAAACAAAATTTACGCCATCTTACTTTGTCTTCATTGACACCTCTGGACGAGCAGGGGTGCTCGGCGCTTCTAATATTTCAAAACAACCACCGATTTGCGTTTTGCTTCGAGTAGTAAAGGGTATGCAGTAAAAAAATCGCCCCAAAATAATATATGTACATATTTATCATTGTAAAGTAAAATTTTCGTAAACAAAATTTTAAATACTGCTGGTAACCCTTTACTAGTTTACACTTACTATATACTCGTAATTCCCACAAAATATTGGTGGTCCGTGGAGGACAGAATTTTTTTCAAAAGGTCCCTCATCACTAGAAGGTTAAGAACCACTGTTCTAGAGTACTGATGATGATGATGATGCTGCTGCTGCTACTGGAGTTGTTGTTATTGCACGCTCGATTGGCTTAGTTGAGTAAATGTAGCAAAGCCATGCAGACGATCTCGTTATTTATTTGTGAAAACATTAAGTAAGAGACTAAGGACAATGTTGGCTGCGCACGGCATGCTTACGTGCCAAAGTCAAATAGAAAGTTTATAATTTTTTTCCCGTCTCATTATTTTATGACAAACGATTTGCAATTTATTTATATTATTTAACTTTGGACTTCATACTTACATTCACACGAATGTGCATCGGATACATACATATATAACGATTATTTAACATTGTCTCATCTGCCTGTGCAAGTGCCCATTAAAAGTTATTCTACCTATGTGTACACATGACTTTGTGTATATAACTTTTTACTTGCTTAACTATTTTATTTTAAATAATTTTACTGCACTTTGTCGGCTTGCACGTTTATTTAATTTTCTTTTTTATTTTAAGTAGCAGTGATGCAAGAAAAATTCGATAACAACTTTTCAGAAAAGGTAAAAACAAAAAAAAAACAAAAAAAAATAAATCGCGCAAATTCTCATCCATGAAATCCATAAAATTCCCCACATTTCACTTCACTTCAAATTCTCTCATCTTTCTCCCTTTCGCTCTATCACTTACAAAAGAAATATTTACATATTTGTATATGAATAATTATTGTATTATATACAACAATGAAAATTTATAGAAAAATTTACTAATCAACCCTTTAAAGCATATGAAATTTTAAGTATGTAGCTACAATCAAATGGATGCTTATGCAAAGAAGTTCCTTCAGTCAATAGTTTTTACGATTTTTACCATCCTTCAGCGTGAAAATTTCATTTGAAGTGAAAAATACAAAACGTAAAAGTTCATCATACGCCATGTATAACACAGTGTACTAGTATAGGTTAAAGTCATTAAGCTTCTGCCAATAATACGGTGGTTGCATCGCAAAACTACATTTTTTGGTTCAAATTACGTAAGCTGGCTAATAGTTGGCAGGAAAAAAAAAACATTTTTAGTGTACTTTTAGCATAGCAACCTCATTATAATTGTTAGCAAATGCGCTGTTACTCAGTTTTTGCTTCCTATATGTATGTATGTAGGTATGTATGTATATGAAATGCTTTAACTCGGAAATTAATAATTTTTAATTGCCTTAACCATCTCCTTAACAAGGAAAAGTTTGTCTCGTTAAATCACTACTCTGCATTCAATTTGTACTCGCACTTGACTGAGAAAATATTTAACATATCGCACGCGATCTTCCTAAGTGACGCAACTCAAAATTACACGTTCGTCAGAAAATGCGAAAAACTACTAGCACATGCTTATCATATCGGCAAGTGAGCCTTTATTTTAGGTTTTTCAAACAAATTATAGCAACAATTTGCTCGAGCTTTAGCTTAGAGGTAAATAAAAGCGCTGTATACATTTTTAGTGCATAACTTCAAAAATTATAAATTTTTGGTTGTGTCACTTTTGAAGATAGTATCCGCTATGCTTTGCACATTTTAATGCAATACAAACTTGCTTGCCTGTTAATGCATCAAGAAAAAAAATCTATTTATATGTATGAGAGTTTGAGCGTAATTAGCATCTTAATTCATTGCAGAAAATGTAAAATTTGCGCCTTACACGACTTTACTACCACTACTTCTTTAAATTTAAACTGTTCAACAACAAAAGTATATATATATATTTTTTTTGTATTTTGAACGCGTATACCATTGTTGCTGAATAAAGCGCTGAACCAGCACGTCTAAGATGTTTTGCATTTGCACAAATATGTAGATAAAGATAGAGCATAAAATCTTAAATATGTACCACTTTGATGCCAGAGGGATAGTTATATCTATTAAAAAAACGAGAGTAAAAAGTCTTCATAAGACAAATAACAAGACAGTGGGAAAGACTTTTGTTATTCTAATACAAACGTCTTAGAAAAAAAGCTCTATCATTCACCACTCGTGGTGAAAAGCTATTTTGAGAGTTTACTTTTGTTTTTTTCGGAATACATAATTTTCATTATGGTTATAGACTTTATTGTTTCAAAAATTAAAAAATATTTTTTATTTAATTTAATTTTTAGGATATTATTTTTTTATTTTATTTCCTTTTAATTTTTTGATTTAATTTCAAAAATATTTTTTTTTTATTTAATTGATTTATTTTTTTTCTTTTTCTTATGTAATTTTGTTTAAATTTTTACATTTTCTTGTTTATTTATTATCTTATTTATTTTTGCAAAATTTTGATTTGACTAAGTTTTTTTTATTTTTTTTTATTTAATTTATTTTTATTTTTTCAATGTTTTAAGCTTAGAATTCAACTAACGGCAAAAAGCACAAGAAATATTTTTTATTATTTCTGTTGCTTGAAAGCGCACTTTGTTTTTGATATAAATTTTCTTCAAGAAATAAATATGCGAGCACTTTTTTCTGCTGAGAGCTGAAATCAGATTTAAGAAATTTTGATAGAAGAAAATTTCTTTTCCATTTCTTACGAGTAATTTTATATGAATTTTTCGTTTTTCTTGAGCTGAAAAAAAAAGAAAAATATAAGCAAGTATACATACATACATACATATTTTTTAATAAAAAAAAAAAACGTATTGCTATAAGTCGCACAGCATAACGCTAAGACCATCTCATTAGCAGATCTTTATCTTTCAACTAGTCTTTCCAAAAAAAGTAAAGAGCTTCGAAGGTAGTTGCGAGACTTTTATTTTTAGAAAGACTGTTGTGAGTTGAAAGACAGTTGCCAGAATTCCCCTGTAAACCCTGCCTTAATATTGGGGTTAACAAAAAAAGTGCTTAGCAAGTTTTTGTTGAATGCACAGCTGATTAATTTATTGCACATTGAATAACACTTTTACATGACATGTCTGTGCAAAGTTTATAATTATATTGTTTTTCATAGAACTGCAATATATTATTTCCTTGCGTTTACGTAACTAAATTATAAACTTATAATAAAGCTTAGATTTTTGTTTATGCCTTTATATACAATTTTAAAATGCCTTGCATACACTTTTTGCCACTGAAGATGAATTTGAGTTTTAGCTTAAAGATAATTTGCCACAAAATGTGATATGTATTAAGACAAGAATAGTATAAAACAATCACTCACTCTATATGTTACTCACTCCTTTGAGTTACCATCGGGTAATAAAAAGCAACTTTCGCATTTTATCTCCTTCTATTTCACGCGTCCGAATTACATACGATTTGCTGGCCTCTCTGCAGGAGCCTAAAACCAGCACCCTGAATTTCTCATCGTTCAAATCAAGCTTTACTTCCAATGTTAATTTCCTGAAGCGAAGGTAAAAGCCTTAAAAATCCAAAGCAGACGCACTTAAGGCGTCTGCACAGTAGCAACGAATAGCACTAATTTAAAATTCCATATGTTCTCTCCATTTTCTTCTTTCATTTTTATATTTGTATCCTTTTTAATCTACTGCAATGTTACTCTAAAAAATTTTACCTAACAAACTAAAAAAAAAATACAAAAAAATAAAAACAAATCCACCAACGCTATGTAAATACCTGCAACTTCACTCGCTGCTACATTTACATACCAAAAACACTTTCACCACGCACCAACACATAAACACACACATGCAAACGAAAATATTTTGCAAACCATATAGATTTAGCTCGGGAGATTTGTCTTCCGAGCATGACGATGTCGATCCCAGTCAACTGCCGCCTGCTGCGCGGCCCATTCAGGATCAACCAACGAAGCCGCCAATTAGCAGTGGCGGCCCACCGAACATGCCACCGCCGCCGGCGCCAGGTGTGCCCGCAGCCGGTGCTGGTGCTGGTGCTGGTGGCCCGGAGCTATCGTTGAGTTTTGGTGGTGGCAAGCAAGCGGCACCAGCTCTGCCACGCGGCGTTAGCGCTCCAACTAGCCCAGCGAAATCGCGTGAAAGTTTGCTACAGCGGGTGCAGAGTTTGACGGGCGCAGCGCGTGATCAAGGCGCTTCCATATTGGGTAAATAAATTTTACAATTTCTTATTCGTGTTTTTACAATTAGAGGATTCACAAGACGCCTTAGGCGTTGGAAAATCTTGAATTCGTAAAATTTTTCAATGCGAAATAATGGATAAAGGGGAATTTTAACTGCATCACAATGTCTTAAGCGAATAGAAAATTTATTATTAGCTCTTATTAAGCCCTTGTAAAATCTCGAAAACCATTTTAACTGTTATCTTACATTGAAAAGTTTTACAACTTTAAGACACTACGACGCTTGAAACGTCTTGTGAACCCCTTATTATACCACAGAATTTATTTATGTAAAATTTGGTTGGGTTTCCCCTTAAAATCTTGCAACATCTAAAAAACACTGTTAACGTCTTGTAAGAGATCTCCTCATTTATAGAATGATTACGATTCACTTTTAAGAAAACCTATACAGGGTGTTAGACAGGTTGATAGTAATTCTTGAGGGGTTAAAGGTCCCCTTGCAAAAAACATATCTTATGGACTTTAGTCTAGTTTTTTAGAATTCAATGAAATTTTGAGTGTTTAATTTAGTTTTAAAGCATTTTTTGTTAAAAATAAGTTTTTATTAAAAAAACATACATACGTAATACGCATGATTGTACTATATATATAGGGTATCCTAGACCAATCGAGAATATTAATAACCATCCAAACCTTCAGAAAAACACTTTAGAAAAAGACTTTGTTGCTTTTAATAGCAACAATACGCGTAAGCATTTATTAATTAATTTACATATGGGGTATTTCCATACGTCGCATACGTAACAGTCGTAGGTTTCAATGAGATACAAACAAGGAAAAACTTTTGTTTTCTTTTACTTTTTTTGGACCCTTGTGTGTAGCGCATAATTAGCTCTATATTTAGCCGATAAATGAAAAATGAAAATAATCGAACCGCATGGTCCTTAAATATACACAATTAAAGAGGGTGACGTTACGTGACAAAAATGGAAGTTGATGTTTTCTTTTCTTACCAAATCACAAAACTCTTCGGATTGTGGAGGCTTTTTTCATGAAACTTATTTTAATATGATTTGAAGTAACTATATTTAGTTGTTTTTAGAGGTTTCTTAATTTATGCAACTTCTTTTAAACATTCTGAAACTTTACATAACGTGGCGTGACGTGACATACAATTCCATCGTTATATTTTTGTAAACATTGTTTTTAAATGAACTTTTGACGCAAATAAAACATGCATTTAAGGTCGAACATACTTTGTATTTTGACTTCAGGGCCAATTCAGGGAAATTTTTTGGTAATCTTTTATTTATTATGTTTCAACTACATACTCCGAATTCGAACCAAATCGGAGCGCAAATACGGATTTACAAAATATCTCAACCCTGGCGCCACCTAACAAGACCCTTTTTACGCAAAAATTTTTCTGCTTACATAACCAGTATATATTTAAAAATTCAAAAAAAAAAAACAATGAAATGGGGCTTCATCTCAAAAACTCTTATATTTATTTATGTTGTCACTTCATATCTGCTTTAACCGTTAAACTTTTAATAAGAAGTGTTGGTCAAATGCCACAGGTCGGATTCCTTGTCGATTAGTGTAATAAACGAGCGCAAATTTTCATATGTATATATAAAAACTTACTTTTCACGAATAGTGGATTACCCACAATCCGACACTTGAAATTTCGTTATGTACTTTAATCGCATAGAAGAGCACAAAAAAACTTAACATTATACATTTTTTAATATGATGTATGTATGTTTATGACTTTGACAGATGCAACGGGCAAATAAATTGCAGTTTAATATTCAACATTCACGCATTTTCCTTATTAAACTAAAGTAAAATGGGGAAAAAATTTTCAAATCGAAAATTCTTTCTAGCAAACAAGTAAATAAAGAGCTTCATTTCATTAATTAGGTAAAAAGGTAGAGCGTAGGATTTTCTAATGAAAGCTGTTATAATCGTTCAAGTTGTATTCAAACACGTGCAGCGTGCAATTCAATATTTTCTAGAATCTTTTTCTTGCGAGATTTCTTAATAAGATGAGTGATTTTTTTTTTCCATTTTCTCACTTCCCCAACGCAATTGAATACCCTTCAACTGGAATAAACTTTTAATGTATGCCTCTGCATCCTAGTTGCAACATAAAAAAATGAAAGTTAAAACATCAAAACTTTTGCGATCATTAAAAGAGTTTAATACCATAAAACTTCACGTTTTTTCTTCGCGTCAATTTACATACATACATACATATGTAAATTTGTAAAAATAATTTACCAACGAGCAATACAACTGCCTCTATAAACCCCACAAACACCACTAGTAAAAGTCTCATTAAAAATTCATAAATACATACAGGTGCTGCGGTGCAGAGCGCCACCCGAGCGCCGGCCTTCAACAAGGACAAATACTTCACGTTGCTCGTACTCGACGACCAAAACACCGACTGGTCGAAGTATTTCCGTGGCAAGCGCCTGCATGGCGACTTCGACATACGCGTAGAGCAGGCAGAATTCCGGGTGAGTAGACACAGCAGTTATGTAGTAGTAAATAGGGATAAACTAAGTAAAATATTTAGTTTTGCCTAACATGCTTGCCATCACCATTACCGAAACATTGTTTACTCATGCTGTTACTTTTTATTTTAAATTTTGTTTTTACTTTGTTGGCACCTTCACATTTGACCTTTTGCATTAAAAATTTAAAAACAATTTGTACTCGGCACAAATCGTGCACTCGCGTTTGCCGTTTCTACTATGAAGCGTAGACTACTTACTTACTTTTTATCGACACATTAGTTTTAATTGGTTTATTTAATATTTTTATGCATTAAATTTTTACAGGATATTTCGCTCACTGCCAGCGCTGAAACTGGACCCATCATTTCCATGGCTGTCTACCGTGGCGGTACCAGGGTGAGTAACTGTACTACAGCTACATTGATTTAGTTGGCAATGCCGCATCAGGCCATTTATCAGCACAAACATTGTATCGGATGCATATGTACATACGTACATATGTGTCAGTGTGTGTTTGTTATATGCATGTTCTCATTTTAATTGCTCCCTGTTGACCAAGTTAAGTCAATGTTGGCACTTTATATGTACACAATACATATACTCAGGCATATGAATACAGCCCTACGTCAGCCCGTCTAGCCTGAGCCTTTGTGAACTTGGATTGCTATTTGGCTTTGGATTTTACTTTTTGTTATACTCGTCGCTGCAGTGTAGGTACTCAAGCGCATGTATTTGCATACATATACTAAATAGGTACTTGTGTCCAAACGAGCGTATAACCATGTGGGAAACATGTATAGGCGAGTAAGTTATAGTAATTTACATACACTGGATTAATTATTTTTTAGATCTATTTTCCAAGCTCGCAGTGAATACGGATTTTTTTTTAAGTCTTCAAATTCGCTTGAATTAAATATAGCCTATTCAATTTAGGATAAGAGTAGGTGTGTGTGTGAGTCACAAGAATTGTTCAAAGGCCTTTTTTTTAATAAAATTTCACTTAAATAGTGAATAATGAATTCTGTATGTCTGATTTTAGAAAGGGCTCCAAGTCGATTGTATTTATATAGACTTCTCTAAGGTATGTGTTTGTGAGAGTGCCGCACTTCACCTTTCTGCAATGGCTGGAATCATATTTGACGGATAAATTTTGTGTGGTAGGTTTGGTTAGGTTAGCTTAGGTAAGGTTGCAGCCCCGTGTAACCATAGCTCACTTACACAATTTGAGATCGTCCTTTGTGATACCACAATTTTGGACGGCACCCTCAACTTTATCGATGAAACGCCCCGAGCCGATTATGAATTTTCGAATCCGGCTAATCTCAATGCCCCAGTGCTCCTCGGGGCTATTTAGAAAGGTAGAGCCAAAGTACTTCAACCTTAGCCTCACAAACGCTGGGCTCTTAAGAAGGTAGTGTTGAGGTGATTCCACCTCGTCCTCTACCAGGCAACTGCCACATAAGGGGTCCGGTAGAATGTTCAGTCTTACTGCTTGAATACAGATAGGACAGTGACCCGTTAAAACCCCCACCAGAAGTGAGAACGGTGGTTTTGTGAGTGTGAGGAGTGCCCTCGACCGTCCCCGGTCCACCCTCGGCCAAAAGGACCTTGCGATCACGCATGCCGCGGTATTCGTCCAGCGCTTGCTCAGCTAACATGAGGCCCATCTATCCAAGAGTGTACCACAAGCGATCAATGGCGCCCCAGCTGCTCTGATAACGTTTCACGAGTACCTTCCCTGGCCCTGTGTATTGCCAGTTTTTTTGTATGAAGATGGAAGTTTAAGGATTTTACTAGTATCTTATATACAATTTGTAACAGTGAACTAGAATTCTTATGGAGAATAGTTACTGTGGTTAATTACTAAAAATATGACTCAAATCAGACTTAAATATAGTTATTAACGTTCTTTTAGTGCTTTTTAATGAATCCTATTATAAGCCCAACTAACGCTTAAAATGATTTTAAACTAAGCAAAGAGTGCTTCAAAGTGAACAGAGAAACTTGTTATAAATTTTAAAGTGAAAATGGTAAATTTTAGCGAGCAATAATCTGCTAGTTGCTATCTTCTGGCTATGAAGGGTTGCAAGAAAATAATAATAAAATAAAAGATGATTGTTTAAAACAATACCCTTTGTTTTTCTATGCCTGCAACCTTGCACAAAATCTTCGGCTACATAATGCTAGAAAGATTCTCTCATAAATAGTTTGGAAATGTATCAAAAAAAAAAAATATTTTTCTTTGGGTCAACGGGTTATTTCCGACCCTGGCCCTAGAGCATTTTTTTTAGTTACGATCTTATTTATCTAAAACACTCATAAAATAATTTTGCCCAACTAGTTTTCTCTTGTCGCCACACTGTGCTATTGTACCATTTTTCCAGCTTCCGCTAATAAATGGTTCACAAGTTCAGAGATCGTGATATTTCTCGGCCTTGTCTGGTGTATGTGAGACAGTATTGCGCTCCTTTACGATCAATCTATGCTGTTAAGTTAGTAAACCTAATATACCTCCTGGCATGAGAGAACTGGTATATTGAATATTCAAAAAGGGGAAGCTATTTATGCGGAAAGTGTTAAAGCAATTTTTTATAGCCTTTTTTGTACTGATTGCGAATCTGTAAGTATGAGGTTTCCATCGCGTCTTTCACATATTTGAAAAGCACTGGCAAAGAAACAAAAGGTGATACAACCTTCCACTTAGGTTAATGAACTTTCGACTACAATCCCTGAAAATACCATTCCTGCACCTTGACCCCAAAGGTCACTTATAGCAATTTTTTGAACAGCCGAAACTGATTTTGACACAATTTTTTTTAATAGCACAATTTCCCAGTGTTTTTTTGACCATCAAGTCAAGGTGCAGAGATGATCAAGAGTTCAAACTTTAATTTAAGCCTTAGTAGAAGGTTCCATCACTTTTTGCTTATTTGCTAGAACTTCTCAAATATTGCCGAAAACGCGATTTCTTGGCAAATGAAATGATGGATATTTACGGGATCGTAATCAGAATAAAAAGGTATATCAAAAACTGCCTTAACATTTGCAGCATCAAGATCGGTGTTGCCCTGTGTAATTGAATAAAGCATCTGAGCCAATACCAATTGGCACAAAGGCAATGTGAGTTTTCACTTCTGCCTTGCCAATTGGTTCCTTTTCACAAGTAGCTGCAGCCTGCAGTTTATTTATGGCTAGATAGAAGAACTTTTCATCTCAAGCATTTTTGGTATGGTCTGAAATTCAAAACTTTGAACAACCCAAATATTTGTTATACGTACATATGTACTTACAAGATATATTGATATATTGACACAGAAAGACATTTAACAGTTTTCCAAAATGTGTAAAGGACGTCAAAAAGTGTAGGCTTAACTTTTCTCAAGCGTCTGACAGACATAGTCTAAGGGTTAAAAAATGTACTTCCAAAACAAAAGCCAATTACGCTACTTTAGAGACCCAGTATGGTTTAGCTTGTAGAATTAGGCGAATCAAGAATTTCAAGCATATAATTTCCAACAAATGAAAAAATAGATATGTGAGAGACATGAAGATATCTAAATGTTACTGAGGTTACCGCTTAGGCAATATACGTATGCAAATAAAAATTGTAAGATTTCCTTACATCCACTTAACCCAATCCCATGTGTGCTTCTTCAAGCTCAAATGGTTTTATGGTACAAAGCACTTGTACCAATGCAGACGCATTCAACTGAAGCTCTTTGCACGCTAAGCACACATTAGGCACGCATAAATTTCTAAGTAATTCATTAGCGCCGGCGACCTTCATACCGAAAGTGGACGCACTATACAAAAACGCATAATTGTTGATTAGACTGGTACTAACAACTGCGCGCGTGTGTACGTGTGCATGCATTCCATGCAATGGATATCCAGCTTGCACGCACCAGCCCGGCCAGAAAAAGGAATCATCTGAGATCTGCAATTTGATTGAAAATGGGGGTAGCTGTAGCTGAGGTTTTAGAGGTGCCTGGTGCCACTCGGTAACTAACCGCGGTTTGGACCATCGGTCCTTCTATAAATATTTTTTTTATGGATTTATTTTATAGTTCCATGGAAATAAAATCCTTGTTTACAAATATTCATAAACTTTGTTTTCGAAACCTGACTTCAGATTTATAGTACGCTTACCAGAAATTACTTTAAAGGGTTCAATGTGACACACCCAGTGTTAAACAGCTTATAAAAGAGAACTGTAATTGCGATCGATGACGACCTTGCAATAGTCGTAAATGCGAAATTCACACAAACACTATCCGATGTTATGCAGACAAATCTAAGGAGGCTGAAAAAGTGGACCAACAAAAACCTAGGCCTAGGAGTTAACCCAAACAAAAGTGAGCTTGTACTATTTACCAGAATGTGCAAGGTTCCACGATTAAAGACATCAACCGGGGTCAACATTGAACGCACAATCAGTGAATCTGAGAAATTATGAGGCTCATGGCACTTCCCTCTCATTTTCGCCGTCTTGGGAGAGATTGGGCATGCCATTCATATGCAATCACAATTTACAAGAAATTTTCTTCTCAGAAGCAAGTGAAAGGTGGATACATCTGGATACAAAAAATTCAATTTCTCATACAAGTTTGTATAGGAGGAAGGCAGGGTTAAATGAGAACCTTTGTGGTACCACAATGAACCCGATTAAGAGCCTAAGTATGCTAGTGTGCCCACCATCAGCCACTTCAACCTAATCTAACTTAAGATATAATTACCAAAAAAGGTCAGAAAGTTTCATTAGAGCCATGAAGGAACGAGTGGACACAGGGACATTTCTGAAAACTGCATAGCCAACGAGTCGGAGAGGAGAGGGTCGGAAATGAATATCTGAAGTCAATTCTGCTCAAAATTCGGGCATACCTCTAACCGCATGCAAATACAGACTAAAGGCCGAAGTCATCGACGAGGTAAATACCAGGTCCACTGTATGAACTGACTGAATAGTACCTTAACATAGTTACTAACTGGGCGGCCAAAAATGGCATCGCCGTCAACCCCAGTAAGACATTATTGGTCTTATTCACAAGAAAATACAAACTCTCCGCCGCTATTCTTCCCTCAGTTGAAGGTCTGGGCTTACAGCTGTCTGAAAGGGTCAAGTACTTGGGTTTTATCCTAGACCGGAAGTTGTTGTGGAGGCCAAACATCGAGGAAAGGGCAAGGAAGGTATCAGTGGCCTTATATTGAAGTAGGGGAGCTGTTGGCAAGAGATGGGGTATCTCGCCTAAAGTTGTCTATTGACTCTACAGACCGTAGTCAAGCCAATAATTTTTATGGCACCCTAGTCTGGTGGAACTTACTGGAAAAGGCTACACTAGCTAGGCAGCTGGAACGTGTATAACGGCCTGCATTGATTGGTATTAGTGGGGCACTGCGGACCGCCCCCACATTAGCACTGAACGCAATGGTGAACGTAGTGCCCGTCGAAATTGCAGGCTATTAGACTCAGGGAAACCGATTGGCTGGCCAACTTAGGGACTGGACACTCTGGAGTTCTAGGGGGCTTCGATTTCATCCCTGATCGTTCGGATTACTACGCTACCAATATGGTTCCGAGGAGTCTCTTCTCTGTACACTTTCCCCCAAGGGAGAAGAGGGTCGGGCGGAACTTCTGGAGGAGGGATGCGGCGAACTTCTTTACGAATGGATCTAAACTGGACGACGGGGTTGGTGGTGGAGTCTTTTGTCGAGAGCTTACCATCAGCACTAAGTTTAGGTTCCCGGACTTCTGCGTGTATTCCAGGCGGAATAAGCTGCCATTACGGAGGCGGTAGCCTTACTGCTAAGGCGCGTTATAACAGCCAGGGAAGTGAGATAGCCAAGTGGCTATCAGGGCCTTGAGTTCGTTGGAGGAATGTCTGCTCTCTGTTTCGGTCGCGTCGCAATACTTTTGAATTAGGCTTATTTGGGTTCCGGGTCACAGCGACATTGAAAGGAACTGTGTGGCTGACCAATAAAAAATTTAATTTCACAAGATCTTCTGTTTCGATACAATTTCGTAAATAAGCAACAGCAGCTGATAAACTAACATTAACGCCTAACTATTGCTTATTTACTAATATTTTACGAAAATAATTTGCATTGATGTTACTTTTGGAGTATTGCTCGTGTAGCGACACCATTATTAGATTTGCAATTTAATATTGACTTTTGTCCACCTAGCTTCTTCTAGTCGCCACACTGTGAGTCGCTAAAAATAAATATTTCGTGATTGGAAAAAAACAAAATTACTTTTCTATGTGTTTTTAGACTACTCTAATGCACATACATATATTTGTAATACATATATTACCGATCATGATATAAAAAAAAAATAAAAAATCAGAACAATTATTGTACGTCAAAAGTGAAGATATCTCTTTTATCTTAAAAGAATCTTTTGACCAAAACGCATTTTACATATCCATATTTCATAGTCACAAATATAAGTTTTTTTTGTAATATTTTTATTTGTAAACGGAATGGGATATTCATAGAATACATACTTGCCCCACAGTAAGCTTTTTGAGGGAACTATACTAAGCTTTTAGGTGGAACTATCACTATTAATTGCCCACATGCTCCCAAAATTTCGCAGACCGGTGTTATTCGTGTCAAATGAGCGAAATAGATTTTCTCAAGGGGAACATTAAATCAGGCATACCCAGCGCTGGCATGGCTGCAATAAACATTCGTGCATGCAAATTATATACATACATACATATGTAAATTAGGATGGTACAAAATGCATTTGAAAAAGTAAAGTCGGAATTTTTATGTTCTCACCCACCGTTGCCACTTTGGTACTATTGTACCAAATATGGGCCTTTTTTCTCCTTTTGGGCCTATGGGCCTTTTTTATTTGTTTTGGACCTTTTTCAAGCAACTACAGCTATCCGTTCGTTTGAAATATGCAGCACTCGCTGCAGCTGCTCTGTTAAGTGGAATTCTGACAATGCATTTCTAGTAAATTTTCGAGTATGCAGTTTTATAGCCCGTTTAATTATAGTAAAACAATTTGCAAGTTTCAAGTCTCTAAAAATTACCGTTGCTTTTTAGATATTTTTTAATGGAGGGTGTTGCGCGTCTAGAAATTCTGAAAAAAATTATTTTGAAATTTTGATAAAAATTTTTTAAATTTTTATGAACTTTATATAAAGTATGAAGCTTTGATATATATGGATTATATTATAGAATGAACTACATATATTTTCATAATTAACACAGGTTTACAAAAAAAAAGTTTCTGCATATTGAACCAAACCTCTATATGTATTCCTATGGTATTCGACGCGCTTCAAAGTTGTCTAGAGGTCATAACAAGGTCAAATTCAGAAGAATTGTATTGAATTTTCAGGTTTTCCAACGAACTTTTCTCTACTTGGCCTTCAAATGACCTCGAAAGTGACGCGATGGAGACAAACAGACCTCGGATTCGTATTCAGGGCGTCGAATACCATGGGGATATAGAGGTTTTGTTTGGTTCAATATGCAGAAATCTTTTTCTTTGTAAACCTGTGTAATTAATGAAAACAAATTGTCATGAGCATAATTGTGAATATTATATTAGAACAAGGTGTACACTAACATTTGACACTGCGTGTATATGCACAAATGCAAACAAATGTATAGAAAATTAATTTTTTTACCCGAATTTAAAATATTGCAATTTTTTAACGTTTAATATTAAAGAAAAAATATATATCTGTATTTTGGAAGGACAGAAAAAAATGGTTTTATTTTATTTTGGGCCTTTTTACTTGGATATTGTAGTATAACAAATTTTGATGAAGTGGCAACCCCCAGGGCTTGTTCTATATCGAAAATTATACCCCAATTTTTTATTTCAAAATCAAAAAATAATGAGAGGTCGCACAAAGCGCCCAAAGTTTTCCATATATTTTATATCAGGAAAAAAACAACTTTTGGTAAAAATGGTATAGAATTCTTAAATAACAATATTTTTCGATCAAAAAACTCTGTTTCTCTTCAGGAAATTCCCAATAATAATACCCAATTATTTATTTAATAATTGTTTCATAGTAGCTACATTTAGTAGGTCCGCCAAAATCCTCACAAACGCCAGAAAATGCAATGGGGGCATGAATAAAAAATTTGTAATATTAAAAAATGGTTGAATAGGGGTATACTTTTTTTTAGATTTAGAACAATCCTAAGGGGGAGAGCATTAATATTCCGACTTTACTTATTTTGGACCTCCCTAATGTGCATACATTTATAAAAACAAAATGTTCAAAAACTAAACAAACATTTCTCCCATTTTACTTTCCCACCAGGTGGCACGCTCGTTCCGACCGGATTTTGTGCTGATACGCCAACCGCCACGCGATGGTTCCAATGATTACCGCTCGACTTTAATTGGATTAAAGTATGGCGGAGTGCCCAGCATTAATTCTTTGCATTCAATTTATCAATTTCAAGTAAGTTATAAATTATTTACGATTAACAAAAAAAAAAAACAAATAGTTAATAATAAATATTAAATTTCCCTCATATTTTCCATGTTTTCAAATTTCCAATTTGATTTTCGTTTTGCATTGTAGGACAAACCTTGGGTATTTGCGCATTTGTTGCAGTTGCAGCGTCGCTTGGGACGTGACGCCTTTCCTTTGATTGAACAAACCTTCTTCCCCAATGCCAGGGATTTGGTAAGTGCATTTAAAATTTGATTATCAAATATTTGCAATATGTAATTAAAATGCCAAGTGTGTTGGAGTATTTGTACAATTACGAATGTGGCTTTATTACAATAAATACAAATAACAGTTAATCATATATTTATGTACATACATTAAAGTTCTAATTAGGTGAAAATAAAACTCTGAACAGTGAATGAAAATGAAGCTTGCATACGTAATGAGATATTTATGTGTAAATCGAACTCGTAAGGGAAGCTAATTAAAAATTAATAACCGTAAAAAATGAAAATAATGAAAGGACTCTTAAAATAAAATTACAATGAAATGGTAAAAATGGTAATTCACCGCGTACATAGTAACAACAATACATACAAACTTGTTAACTTTATCTTTTTGTGTTAATATTAAATAAATAATTATGTATAGTATATGATAAACGACACCTACATACATACATAAGCTACGAATTACTAACAGCAATTTTCTTTAATTGAAAGTCAAACATAAAAATATGTACTATACAACTCTCTATCATTCTATGCTTGTTACAAAAACAATGTGCCCTCTTATTTCGCGCTGTTACGATTTCTTAAGATTTCCTTATCGCATTTTCCTTTCCTTTGGCTGTCCTTTATGGATCGGCCATGCATTTTTTATATGCCGGCGTACTTCGCCAATGGCACTTGGAGATAATGCCTTCAGGTGTGCGGTAGTGTGATGGGATGCAAGCGCTAAAATCTGTTTCGCATTTGGCAAACGGTGACCATTTGCAGGCGGTGGCAGATTGGCGTTCTTCCAAGCAGTAGTTGCCAAAACAGGGTTCAACCTGTGGAAAATTGAAGAAGAGGGAAGAAACGAAATTAATTAATTATAAATACATATTTATATTTTTGTTTGAAAAATTAATCGTTGAGTAGGATTATTCCAAATTGTAAGACCTACAAATATTTTGCATTAAAAGGTCAACATTTTTTATGGTCACATTAATTTTCAAGATTTTTTGCTCTTGAGCAAAATGTAGTATTCGACTACATACATATTTACATTTAAAACAGAGGTCGAAACGTTAAGACATGGTTTAAAATTTCGAGCAAGCTGTCGAGCACATCTGCATGTTAAATGAGAAATAAAAGCTTTGGTTATATTATTAAAAATCAACGCGACCTCTTAGCAATTTGCAAATTGCACTTTATTACATTAAAATTTAATGATCGATAACACTATTTAAATACCCAATATTTTTCTAGAACCACAAAAAAATTTTTTTTTTTAATTTTATTGAAAATTACTTTTATAACATTTCAAATTTTTCTTCTGAAATTTTGTTTGTGTGGGGGAACCCTATACTTGTTTTCAACTAGTCGAGTTTGTTCAAATTGTTTGTTTTTTTGCACTTTGCACTAAAAAATTTAACACAAACAAACAAAAATTAAAAAATCGGGCTCAATTGGCCTCTTGCAAATTTTATTAGCTTTCATCAAAAAAAAAAAACATTATCAAATTGAGTAACAAATAAAGGCTCCAGTGAATTATGAACTCAAAATGCCAATTTTGAACTACTGTAAGTTGATAAGTAGTAGGCAATCTCATGAATCTTGGTATAAATGAATTTCGTATGTTCATCAGAACTTAAGCTAGGGAGTACGTGTATTCAACCGTGTTGTAGAGTAGAAATGGAGTAAATAGTCAAACGTTTAAGTGTTTTTGCACAGATGCCTAGAACTCTTGAGTGTCAGGGCAATTTTGTCTGACTGTGCTTAGGTCCGGCCATGAAGATCATGTGCTGCCATATAATGAGCAAACAGCCAGAAGATTAGTCAAAAATGTGCATTAAACTTTTTTCAGAGTAAGGCTACCGTTGAAGTGCTAAGGTCAGCTCCATGAAAACAATTTCTCCGTTTAGTTTGACTAGACATACCTACCAAATTTCAGCATAAATCCTGCATTGATGTGGAAAACTTAAAGGTTTCTTTGACAGCTTACTGCAAATTTTTGTCAAAGTTTCACTCCAGTAAAATAATTAAAGAGAGCCAATAAGAGTATGTGCCTGCCGTTAAGAGGAGGGGCCAACCTAAGTCTGACCGGAGTCATGGAAAAAGTATTATTCGAGACATCGTCGTCTCAGTTTAGCTAAGGCTGCGCAATTGCAGAGGTTCCACATTCTCGATTTCTTTATCGTCCCATTCAACTACATCCTTTGTCTAGCCGCTCTACAAATTGGCCCTTCCGCCCATGGTTTATTTCCTAGTTCAATGTAGTAGACACTATGTCACAAGACAAGTTAGTGGTACTCCCGCACCGTAGGATGTGTTTAAGACTGAAATAGATGTGCCTATCCTCGCCAAATTCGTCTATTCATATCACACTCGTTATATATTTAGCTGCCGTATCCTTAAAATATTTCTGAATTCGACAGGAGTTTTAAATGTGGTTGTGCAATACTGAAAGGGCTTAAATCACATCGTCGCTAAAATACAAAACGCCCTAACTAACTAAAAATCCGTAATTCGGTAGCTTGTTAAGAAAATGGACCGAAAAACTGTCGGAAACAGGGATTTAACAATCTGGTAGAGCGTTGTTGGAAGCACCTTCAATGTCCAGAAAAATAGCTAAGGCAAGTCCTTTAAAAGGCTTGTTACGTAAGAAGAAATTAATTTACGTTTAACTGCTGGCAGTGTTCAATTCAATAAACAAAATTGACTTCTGATGCACTTCTTTTTATGTAATTGGCCTCAGCTTGCCCTTAAGTGCATAAATTGATTTTTATAAAAAGGGTTTTTTTTCATGGCGAAAGTTAGCTCAAAGGCTTGCAAGAAACTCACCGCACATTTACAACCCTTGCGATAGGCGCCAGCAAAGCCACGCCTCTCTACCACCGACATCTTCAGATATTCCTTTACATAACTGCAACTATTCAAATATGGACCACGACCAGCAATTACGTATAGCTTGCCAATATCCAAGTTAACGCCACACATAGCTTCAGAATTTGGTGTCACTATGCGACCGTGTTTTAGCAGCTTCTGTCCGGATTCATTCATCTAAAAAGAAGAAATATGTATTAATAAGTGACTAAGATGTTTTGAAATCTATACATGCATACTTGTATTGATCAATTACTTATCTATACAGTTGAATGGTGGTTCAAGACTTACCTTATATGATTTCTTTACTTCCACTTTGTAGGCAATGTTGTTTTGAACCAGACGGTGGGATTTGCGCATAACACGTATAATGACAACTGTAAATGTAAAAATGAAAATGAAAAAATATATAGTTAAGTTTATGGCATACATATGTATAAGCATGAACCTTAAAAAATGAAGGGCATTATTATATTTCGTAATTTATGAATTGCTTAATTTATCAAGTATACGCCCCGTACACCAGAACATGTTTATGAATGTTTATATGTATGTGTGTACATATACATGCATACATCTTAATGCATATTTGTGCAAATATACTAGTATGTAATTATGAATCATGATTCAATAATTAAAGGTGTGCTCACTAGTGACATCGGAGTTGTGTTACTTTCTTAACTCCCTTATAAAAGCGTTGCACACACACACATGAACCCACACAGTGCCGATTTTGTCAAGAGGGGAGCAAGAAAACTGCTTTCTGAGCAAAACTTGTATTATTAAATCATGCTTATGAATCCAGAAAATTCTGTTGTCTATGAAAATATTGAATTATAACAGATAAACGAATTGATACTCGTTAAGTTCTCAAGTGACTTCGATGTGGCAGTGCCTTACATTAATAACTTTCTTCACAAGATAATAACTACAACGATAAGCATTAACTAGTTACAAGGGTATTGATATGTGAGAAAAAGCTCTAAGTACGAATAATATTTAAATGTAATAAAAACTAGTGCCAGTTTTGTAGCTGGTAGTATGTGTACATTCGCGTGGGTCGAAAATACACTTTTTAGAATTTTCATTGCTAATAGCAAAAATATGATTCGCTATGCTCTACAAACAATCTATGCGAAAGATAACAAATGTTGGTCAATATCTTAGGCTCGCTTAGGTTCATTAAAGTTCAATGTGTTCAAGAAAAATTGTTCTTAGCTTACTTCGATCACAAATTTAATGCTCTCCAAAAAAAAGCTTATGATTCTAATTATGTAGGACTAATACTTTCAGAGATAATTGCAATTTTATAAAAAAA